ACCAGCATTTTTCACTCTCAAAAGTGGTGATAATCCGGCGTTGTTTTGAAACCGTTTACCAGGGTTTGGGGCATTGAGAGCAAGCAGATTACCACCGGGGACAAAAGCGCTCCACCACCGCAGTGATGAGCCACACAGCACCGCTGCACGCTAATCTGGCCCCTATTGAAAAGAGGTCAGCAGTGCACTGAGCCAGGTTCGTGAACAAAAGACAGTTGTATAACACCGCATAATCTGGGCCCTGTTTACAAGGCTGCAGGCCTGGCTGAAATATTCGGGTGTCAATGAAGGTCACCTGTCAACTTAGAGTAATGCCTAAAGATTACTGCGTGCGGCTATAAACGACTGTTAAATGGAATGATGAATTGTTGAAGGATTTTGAAAACGGAAAAAATGATAGTCATGCCAGCCCAGCATCATCAATGTTGAAAAATGCCCCGGCACGAAGTGGTTAATAGGTTCATGAAATGGCGCACAAGTTTGATGTCACCAATGTTTGTGGCAAATCCTCCTGAGTGCAGCAAATAGAATATGCAAATAAGTGAAGTAACCTGTTTTGCTTTTTTTAACACAAAATCAACAAAAGTAAACATGGAGTGTTAGCATGAGGTATATATTTTCTTCAGTATTAATGGGTTTTGTTGTTACACTCTCATACTTGCTCTCTTTGAACAGATCCGCACACGTGCTGTGTCTGCCAAGGGAATGACTATGGTGTCTCCACTGCAGCTGCTATTGTTTGGTGCAAGGTCCATTGAATCTTGTGATGGTTTGATCAGGCTTGATGATTGGTATGTACACACTGAGGCAAATACCAACGTCTTTTTTTTTTAAGGGAGTAGTGATCATTTGACCCAAACCTTTAAGTATATGGAGTCACCAAAATTTGGCAAAAATGAACAAATCTCCTGGAAAAATGTTGATATACTATAACATACATGTACACACACATTCTGAATCTACACATGTACACATTATGAATAGATTCCATATTTGTGATTTTAAGTGGTTGTAAAATGTGCCATAAAATGAAATATGCGGTAGCAAAGTGTGCCTTTGTTTGAAAATGAAAAAAAAATCATGAAATGGCATTTTGTGGTTTGTATTCACATCTTCCACTGGAATAAGGTATCTCCTCGAGTGTAAAAACTCCTTGACAAATCAACCTTACATTCTTCAGCTTTCACTTCATTTCCACAATTTTGGTGGAGTGTAACCTGTGGTTCACATTTCAAAATAGCAGGAACCAAATTTCATATTAATCTAATTCCCTTTTTAAAACTCTTTACCTCACACAATTCAGGATTTACACACAAAAGAGATTCTCCTTTATTGGAGGGAATAAACAAGCCAGTCAATATGAGAAAAATGAAGTGAATCCAGAGAACACCAATTCAGGTGGCCATAAATTAAAACAGGAGATTTACAGAATAAGTTAGAATACACTTTGAGCTCAAGGAAAAAAATTGGCGCCAAAGTTCTAGATGTAGAGATGAGTTGCGACGAGTCATTCCAAGGTGGGAGAACAGACATCCGTAAAGTTTGAAGCCGGATGACAAAAGTGAAGAGCAAAAGTTCAGAAGAAATGTAATGCAAAGGATTGCTTGCGGATCTTGCAAGATTGATGCTGGTGGTTAATGCCACAGATGCCTTGGTGTACTT